CCTACAGGTCCGGCCAGGTCAGACATGGTCATCAATGAGATGACATATATATATATATATATATTTATATATATATATATATATACTCCTTCTCCTTCCTTTTTTGTGTCCTGGGCTCTGGGGATTTGATTGTTTCTCACTTTAGGAAACCACATTTGAAGAAAACAGGTTGACACTGATTCTGGTCATGATAGAATGTTTGAACAGAGATGGACAGAGTAAAGTGAAGAGAATATCAGGATGGAGATGATGTGATAGATTGTGGCATGGTGACATACTTAAGCATGATATTACTCTTTAGGTGAGGAAAGGAACATTTATAGAGATATAAACGAAAAGAAATTGGGGAATAGGGAAGGAAAAGGACCAACTATTCTTTTACACCCTCACAAATACACACATTTACAGTCTCTTCTGGTGAGGTCATGCGAAAAAGACTTAGATGGCATTTTTCTTTCTCTGTTTCTCTCTCTCTCTCTCTCTCTCTCTCCACTCTCTTCCTGTCTATCTCTCTCTGTCTCTCCACTCTACTTCTCAACCGCTTCCTCGCATTCTTTGCTTTCCTCTTGCTCAGCATCTTGACATGCTTACTAAACAGGGAACAGAAATCCCTCTCAGATGCTTTGGCCCTGATCTTTAAGGAGGTAGAAACACAGATACACACTTTCCCACTCTTCTGCCTCCTTCACACCCTGAGGGCAAGTGTTTAAGTGACTGTAATGCTTTCTCCCGCTCCCACTTTCTCACACCGTTTCACTGCAAAAACAAAGTAAACAAAGAGAGCCCACACCTCTCCCACAGCCCATCACTTAAAGCATGCACTGGTGAATGAGATAGGGGTGTCTATGTCTGTCTCTCTGATTTTCTGTTTCTTTTTTCCATTGTGGCTAATATCTCAGTCATGATGTGGTTTTCATTTCTAACATCTGACTGTTTCCCCCTATTATTATAAAGCTAACAAGCTGAAGCAGACATTTTGCAGCATTTGACATGGGCTAAGCAGTAATGCATTTGGTTAAATGTGTCAGATTTTCAATAGGGGGGTATAGAATCAGCTGCCAAAGCCTGTTTACAAAATTACTCTACTGATGTGCTCTTTAGATCTTACGTACAAATGAAATGAATTTAGTTTCATAAAGTAGTTCATAAAGTATTACACTGAATGTGGAAATATAATATAATGTAGTATAATATAATATAATGTAAGGAATTTCTCTTAAAAATGCAAAGTTAGATGAATAGAAAAAAAAAAAACATTTCATATGCTAATCCTCATTGGCAAGTGCATTCTGAGACGAGACGGTGGGAACGATGAAGCACATGAGTGAAAGAGAGGAAATGAAATGAGGGGAGAGGACAGAGGAGGCTCTGTTCCACATGGCTTTTCAGAAGGCAGCCACTTTACATTGCGCCTTGGCAACCAGTGTGTGTGTACGTGCATGTGTGTTTGGGTTTTTGTGGTGAGCCGGGGGTCTCTCACATTCATTTCACAATGAAGCTGAATTAGACCACGAACGCCCCGCAGCAACTGTTTTTCACACTGCCAATCAAACTCACACAGGAAAGAGAGTGAGAGCACAGTCTATTAAGGGGTTGTAAAAACTATCTATCTATCTATCTATCTATCTACCTATCTATCTATCTATCTATCTATCTATCTGGGTGTAAGTATATGCATACATGCTGTTTATGAACCTCATTCCATAAGCTACTTAGGGTTTATACTAGGGCTGCACAATACAGGAGTTATTAATCATTATAATGATATTGGCTTTCGCGGTATTTATAGTGCAGAAGCCTGGACTATGAAAATAAGACCTCTAACAGGTTATAACCTTTAAGTAATCTGGTACTGTGATTATTTTGTAAAAAAAAAAAAAAAATCATAATACTAGTATTTTGTCCATATTTTGCAGGCCTGATTAATAGACATGGCAGTTTCATTCAAAATTGACAGATATGCCCCAAAATAAATAAATTAATAAATAAATAATCAATAAACACAAAATACAAAAACAAAATAATTCAGCTATCATGCACCAGATGCATCAGGGTGGATGCCACCAGGGGCAGTAACACCACTAGGAATCTTACTGTTACTGTATTATATTAAACCCAGACCACAAATCCATAGCAGTGACAAAGCTTGAAATTTACTCTGAGAAAGGCAACCAATCTAAAGCCTTTGAGATAAACAGACAGGAGCTAAACGTCTGTTTTTACCTTGTCACATCATAACTTCTACACTGCCTTCTGGTGGAGGATAGAGTTCAGACATCTCACGGTTCTTCAATGTGAGGAAATTAAATGAAGAGAAAAGCTAATTCGCATACAAACAATCCTAATTTACAATTCACTTTTTTAAACCTTTATGACCATTTGAATATTCAAAGATTCTGACCAATCTCTACTAGTTTATCGTCAAATTAAAATGGAAGTAATGATCATTACCATCATCCAAATTAGGTCCAAGTAAGGTTTAATTTTGCCATAGCAGCTCTTGTAAATACAAGCAAACATCTCTCTGGTCTTTATTTTACACTGATGGTCTGTACTGTCTTTTGAACTTTTACACAAACAGTTGATGTCTATGTGGACTCTGATTCAAATGAGCTAGCATAGCATGCATGTGGATGTGAGATATAGGCCAAGTGCAAAGAGTTCTTGTGTGCATGTGTTTATCTGTAAGTAGGACAACGAGAGAGGACATTGACATGAAGCTGCCCAACAGTTCCAAAATGGTCCATTGGGCACAAAGGAAAAAATCAATTAGGTCATCGTGTTTTTACAGAGGGATTCCCTGATATGTGTGTGTGTGTGTGTGCATGCTTGTGTGTCTGAGAGCATTTCCTCAACCCTGCTCTCTTTCAGATTGACCACTGCAAGTCTCAGCCTATAGTCCTTAATCCTAATCTAAATCCTGGCGCAGGCTCAGGAGAGTACATTAGTAAATCAGAGCTCCTAATCCCGCCACCACAAGCCGCTTTGGAAAGAAATCGGGGGCCTCGCGCACAGCAGGCCATAATTAAGCAGATTTGTGTGGGTGTGTGTGCATGTGTTTATGTAGCTGAAAGAGAGACACAAAGAGAGCGACATAAAGAAATAGAAAGGGACACAATCTGTGTGTCCGTGTGTGTTTGTCTGTGTCTATGTCTGTGTGTGTGTGTGTGTGTGTGTGTGTGTGTGTGTGTGTGTGTGTGTGTGTGTGTGTGTCTGTGTGTGTGTGTGTGTTTGTATGTGTGTGTGGAGTATTTGTTCTCTTTGTCTTTTCTCTTTCCTGGGCTACAGAGTTGCTGAATGTGCAGTATATTAATGAGATCAGTGATGGCCAGAGGAGAGAGCCCTCATACCGACTGCATTTATCTCAAACCCAATCCCATTGTTCTTGCTACTCAACTCACACTCGGCAGACATACTACAGGTAGCCAGATTACATTTAAATTGGAAATGAATCTAGATCTGTTTGGCTGAGCCAGCAGGAATGAAGATGGGTGAGAAAAGGGAAAGAGATAAGCCAACATATAAGACCATAGCGTATAGACTAACAGCATGGTGTGTCTTGCAACTGGTATAAACGTCTAAAGAGTCAGCTCCCATCAAACTGAAATGAATTATGCATGCAAACATATGTATTCATAGTGTAACTTTTGTGTACTGACTTAAATAACAAACAATTCATACTGTGGTTCAAAAGCATCATAGGCAATGGGCTGTCAAGGGCTGTCACTAACAATTATAGCATGTAATCTAATGATTATTTTGATGATCAACTAATAATAAGTAATAAAAAGTAAAAAGTAATATAATAAGTAATAATGAGTCATCTCATTATTTTAAAAAAACTAAACAATAAAAATACACTTAACTAAAGGGAAGACTTAAAGAAAGCCTTTTTTACTCTAAGTGAAACCAAAATTGTCATCATTCATCAGCATGGTTATTTCTTCAAAGTGGTTTTAATCAAGTAACCATGCCCTAGAAAACGTGTAAGTTTCTTTTTAATAATATTTAATAATATTTAATATTTATTTTTCAATCATTATTTGCAGTATGTTCAAAAAGAGTAACAACACCAGAAATACCCTCTTACTCTTTGTAGGTACAGTTACTCTTTGTAGGTACAGTTACTCTTTGTATGTACAGTTAGTGACTGTTGCGTAAAAATTTCTCAACCCTCCCTCTACCCCATTCATCCACGGACAACGGACGACGACCACTGAGCAAGTATTATTTGGGTGGTGGATCATTCTCAACAAAGCAGGGACACTGACTTGGTAGTGGCGTATCAGTGAGTGTTATGCTGTTATAAATGTATTAGGCACAGCAACGTTTCTAGTGTTTTAAAACACTGTGTCCATGCAACGTCCACTTGCTTACTTTGTTGGTACACTTTGCAGCAATACAGTTACAGACCATAGTTCATCTTTTTCCATGTACAATTTGTGTCAGACAACTTCTAGCCCTTTATCAGTGGTCAATCTCTGACCACAGAGCTGCTCCTTGTTGGTCTTTTTGCCTGGTGGTGGGCCACTCTCAACCTAGCGTGTAGGTTGACTGACGTGTACTCTGGATGCACAATTGGAAAATGGCCAAGGTCGGAAACAGAAGATTTTTGCTCCAAACACAAAATCAGCCAATTTATTGTTTTTATTTTGGCTGATCTCTGTTGCAGTTTTATGACGTAAATGATGTGAGGCATGTACTAACGAGAAAATATTGTAGCATGCATGACTCATTGTGATAAATCGGCAGTTGCCTTTTAATGTAACACTTCATTTAATTCATATTATTTAAATATGAATTAAACTGGAAAACTTTAACAGTTTAACAATCCAACTGTACAGCAACAGATGGGCTACAGTCAGTAACTGTTTAACTACAAAGTGCACTTGGTAGGTATACCAGATGAAATAGCCAATGAGTATGAAAATTTCATGTAGTTTTACATTATTTTGTCCACACATCTGTTTAACTCAGTCTTGTGTGTTTGTGTTTCGCAGGTGATTCACTGGTGTTCAATACCACTCAGTTCAACTCATCAAACTCTGCTTCTAATGGGTTCAGACTTAAGTCTGTGTTTTCTGGTGAAGCCACATCCATTTCTCTGGCTCAAGTCCGTACCCATAAACCACACGCAGTGGAGGAGCTTGGCAGTGGAGGGCCAAGTGAAAACAGCCCATCCACCAGTGCCACCATTGCTATCAATGCTGACTCAACTGAACATGAACACCTGATTGGTGTTGCTATAGGTGGCTTGGGGGCAGGTCTGCCCACTCTGTCTGGCTCTCGACCTCATGGCACAGCCCAGCTAGACTTTAAAGATGAAGACATCGATGACAGCGCTCCCCGCTGGCAGAATAAGATACTACAACCTGATGGAAGTACGCTTGATCTCAACCGACACCAGCCAACCACCTCCGCTCCTTCTGACGATCCATCAAACTCTGCCAGTCAGCCAGACAGCAGCCATGTCATTAAAGTGGGTTTCTATGAACCTGTGGAGCATCACCAAATTGACACCCCCCCTCCACCTCAGCTGCAGGAGCTTCAGGGCGGAGATCCCACTTCATGGACGCTTTCAGATTTTTACGATTATCTGTCCCCTGATTACTCCACCACTGAGGGCTACCCAGATGAAGACCAGCCCACACCTGTAGATATGGAGGATGAAAATGTGCGGATGGTTACCAAAGCAGCACCCTCTAACTCACAGCCTTTTGCCATTGACGATGGTGCATCTGGTGGTTACGATCTGACAGGACCTGCAGGTGCTATGGACGGGGAGGACAGTTCTGGTTGTCTTTTAGGATTCATACGCAGAAATGGTACATGCCAATCTCCTTGTGACATCTACATCAGTTACTGCTTTAACGGAGGGCAGTGTTATGTGGTAGATGGGATTGGAGCATTCTGCAGGTAAAAAGCAATTCTTTTGCCCTCTGTTTTACTTTTTTTCTCTGTCTCTCCCTCTCTTATTCCCTCTCTCTCTCTCTCTCTCTCTCTCTCTCTCTATCTCTCTTTCACTCTTTGTCTCACAAGCACACTTTTCTGTAGGCACACAGTCACATATGAGTCACAAAATAAGGCCATCTTTCAAAAACAACTATCATCAAGTCTGACAGCTTGAAACAGGGTGGTGACTACTGGATTTTCAGAACAGTAGTAAACTGACTGCAGCCCATGAATGATCTTGGTTCTGGGCCAAACTGATGCCAACACGTGGAGAGGGCTAACAAGGTCAAGCTAGCTTTTAGTAAGTACAATAGTGTGATGTAAATCAATGATAAACAAAGCTGTAACAGCTAAAACACATTTAATACAATAGGAAATATGGCAACAAGCTACACAAACTAACATCTGACATAAAATTCTGTTTGAATGCAGTGTTCTCTCTGTAAAAGAATCACTCAATATCACTACAGCTGAGAAAGCATTTTGTAGCATTACATAATGTACTTCCAGTTATGCTAAAGCTAATATACCATTACTGAGTGATTTTACTGGACAAAAAGATACAAGCTGCTGTTCTGCTAAACAGAACCGTCAGTGGTCAGTTTCCTAGTCTTAAAACACTATTAGCACAGGCAGCTGAGCTTTCTGTGTAGGAGGGGTTGTGTTGACATTTCAAAAGGATTAGAGGAGGTAGGACAATGTTGAGGGACCCATTGGGGTCCCCATCTGCTCTCTGAGAAACCTAATGCGCCCCCACCCCCTCCTTTGTGTGAGTGAAATGGATATATGTTCTTTTTTCTTTTTGTTCTTATTAATTATGGTTTTATTCTTTTTACAAGTTCAGTTCAATGTTTATTTTTCAAAATGATCCAAACGCACTACACATGTAAAAAACAAATAATGAAAATCTAAACCCTGTTTCATGCTGGTGTAATTATGTGTAATTTGGCTAATAGTATAATGAAACACTCAGCCCACGATTCAATTCAGTTCTCAACAATCAAGTTTTGCACAACTTACTAACAACATTAGAGCTAGGAGACAGGAGAAGGGCTGGAGAGAGTTGTTGATTAGAGCTGATCGTTTGCAAACGTTGGTGTTCAATTCAATTACATTTAATTAAATTTATTTATAAAGCACTTTTTAGAACAGAAGGCAATTTTACAGAAAAGCCACATCCAAGCCCCAAATAAGCAAGCCAAGAGCAACAGAAAATCTCCTTAAGAGCAGGAGGAAGAAACACCAGATAGCAAATCAATAACACAGCAAGAGTAAAATGAAGATTAGACAAATTAATATACAGAAATGAATATTGAATAAAGAAAAGAAATGAGCCTGTCATTAGACAGAATTATTTAACTTAGCCAATGATAAACAACGACTACAGAGGCATGTCAGAGTAACAAATAGATCTATGAAGATCAGCTGCGACTTCAAACAATGCACTTGCATTAAATGACATAATTAATAGAATGTCAATGCTCTGCAATGCATTTTTACATCTCCATGACGCACGCTGTCATAGTTTTGCATTTCAGTATCACAATGTCACAATGCATTGTTACATCCCTTTGGTCACATAAGACTATTGATTTTTAACAAAACAGAAATCCTAATTTGATTGTGACTAAAACTATGAAAATGACACGTATAAAATAAAAAAAATCATCCTTGTTCATCACAAGGATAGCTATACACAATTTCATCTCTTTAGACCAATCAGAACAAGTTTTGTGGAATTTTGTTAGCATACTAAATTTAATTGTTGGACATTAAAGAGTTAGATCTTATGATAAAAGGTTGCACAGCCTGTGTTCCTGAAGTCGCACCTCCATAGCGTAGCCCACTGCCCTTCGTTTAACATTTGCAGGTATGGATATGGTTATGTCTCCATCTATCTGTGTGTGTAAGTGCGCGGATGTGTGTGTATGTGTGTTTGGTCAGACATACTCAGTGCACATTGACAGTTGCCTTCAGCTTGCATGTTTATTTCAAAGTTCTTGGGATCTAATGAGTTATTCTAATGTTAAATAGATCAAATGACGTCTTTTATTGCTTTTGCATTAATCTTACACATTTCATTTAATCCAAGCAGTATTTTAATGACAAATGATGTCACTGAAGAGTTATGGTTAAATTAATCACTATGCAACTGCTTTATAAGACTTTTTCATTTCATTATTAACCAGATGTATTTTCCATCTGGTTCTCTACTCTTGTGTCTAGCAAGTGGCACTTTTACAGAAACAAAAGGCTCTGTTTTTGAAAAGGATGCTGGAGATGTGAGAGTAATAGAAAAGGAGAGAGTGAGAGAAACTTTGTCTGGATGGATGGCTACTATATGGCCCAGTGTGAATGTGTTCTGCATGAGTGTGAGCAGGATTCAGTTCAGTGGAACTGTGAGCTACCAGAGTATATTTTAAAACAAAGGCACAGATTGATCTTTTCTTTAGAGTCTGAGCCTGGCCCATTTCGAGACCAACAATGATTTTCTGTTAGCTATTGATCGGCCTCTAATACACTGTAGGTCAGTGGAACCCTTAGGCTAACTCTGAGTGCCTTTATGTGTGTGTTTGTGTTTCCAGCAGCTAATATCACATACAGTGTGTGCCCTCATTTCAAATGGAAACATTCAAATAATTTACCTTTCTGGAGGCCCTGAAGAAAAAGCATATAAAATTAGAGCTGTACTCATCAAGAAATTCAGTGTATATGTCTCTGTCTGTTGGGAAAGCTATGCTGAAATAGAAACAATTGGAGGACTCTATAATAAAAATGTAATTAATTTGGTCATATTTGCCATCTCTCATAACATACCAGTATTTTCATTAAATGCAAAAAAGAGGCGCCTAGATGGTCATTATAACTTGGCGGAACGAGTATTTCTCTCTCTCTCTCTCTTTTTAAAACAATAATTATTTTTAATGAAGCCACAAAATTGGCTCCAGTCACTTTCCAGATAAATATATCACTGATTCCAGATGCGTAGGCTCTATTAATGAGGGTACAGAATATTGGTTATATTCAAAGCAGGGCAAGGCATAAGGATTTGTAACTAGGGCTGCACAATATATCATTTGTTAATCATTATTGCTTTATTGGCCTTTGCTATCCTGATGTACATATGGCTGCAACATGCAAACAAGCCCTCTAACAAATTTGCTGTAAACTGTGAGCATCCTGATCTGTCACAGATGCTCCCAGTTGAACCTTATTTTGTCTGTTTGGAAGTATCAAGGTGTTGAAATGATACAACAAATCAAGTCAAGCGTTCACCAGCATGTTGAACAGCATCACGATATGTAGCGTGATATATATACCAATGTAATGCAATATGATATTTTGTCCATGTAGCTCAGCTAATTAAGAACAAAAGTGCACACACAACCCATCTTGTTGAATAATGTTTTAAACTTTTTTGTACGCTCACCCTTCGAAACCTTTATATGTGTGCGTTTATTTTAGCTTTAATCAGGCCTGAAATTTCTGTGTGTCTGAGCCAGAACCAACCTCAACCATGACACCAAGTGTTGAGTCTGGACCCAACCCGAGCCCCACAAAGTTTAGTTTACCCAACCCAACCTGACCTACATCATCAAGTTTTCAGTCCAAAACTGACCCGAACCAGCCCATCATCAATCACACTGTTGAATAAAGCCTGACAGGACAATGCCAGTCAAATTATTGTGTACAAACAACAATAGCTGTCATGATATTACAGATTAATTAAATTAAAAAATCATAGAAAGTAATATGATACACTAAAGAACGGCTGTCTAAGTTGTTTTAATTTATCTTCAAAGGGCTCTCACTTTAAAGGGCTCCCCTTTTAAAGGGCCTGGAGTCCCAGAGAGAACAATTGTTCCTCCCCCTCCCCCCTCAGTCACTCAGCGCGATGCTAGCCAACGCAGGCGCGTAGCTGGTGTAACAGAACTGGCAGTTAGTTTTCTTCTCCGAGCGTGTTAAGTGTTAGTGACACTTCAAAAAGATGTGATGGCTGGCATCACATGACTCGGAGGAAGCACATGCCGGCCTTTAACCTCCTAGCACCCGTAGTATCGTGTAAATGGGGGGGAGACCTAGCTAGTGGGTGGAATTGGGCATGAGTGGGGGAAAATGCAAAGTAAAAATGATTAACAGCAGGACACAGGATAAGGGAACCCAAATGTGATATCAGAACCTGACACAATCCTGGCAGATGTTAGAGAAATGATATCCAAACCCATAGAGCAACTTCATGAGCAGTCAGGTCCCGAAGGGTTCGGACAAATATTTCAAGCGCTAGTGTTTGTCTGTTTGTATCTTGCATTTTTTTCTCCCTCTCTGTCTTGCTCAGTTTATCTCTCTCTATCTCTCACACTGTTACACAGATGTGAGTGGCATGGCCAGTCCATTTGAATATCTGTCAAAACATCACGCACCCCTCGGGCACAGTCTACAGTTTGCCCTGTCTCTCTCTCTCTCTCTCTCTCTCTCTCTCTCTCTCTCACACACACACACACACACACACACACACACACACAGCTGACGACCGCTTCAGTTTGCATATGTGTTTATGGGTGAATATTGTAATGGTCACTCTTGGTTCTCAGTCTTGGCACAAAACCAGACACACACACAGGCCGAAACAGATTGTGTGATTAACTTTGCGCATCTTTTAACCTTTAACCTTCCTGCTATTTCCTTCCCCTCTCTCTCTATCTCTCTTTTTCTGTCTGTCTCTTTTTTATTCTCTCTCTCCTCTCCTTTGATCTCTGTCTTGCTATCTCTCTCTCTCTCTCTCGATCTGTATCTCTCACCTCTTTCTCTATCTCTCTCTCTCTCTCTCTCTCTCTCTCACTGTCTCTCTCTCCATCTCTCTCTCTCTCTCTCTCTCTCTCTGTAGGTGTAACATGCAGGACTACATCTGGAACAAAGGTACCAGATGTGAGTCAGTCATTACAGAGTTTCAGGTGATGTGCATTGTGGTGGGCGGAGCTTCGCTTGTTTTGCTCCTTCTCTTTATGGTAATCGTGTTTTTCTCCAAACGGCTTCATCTACTGAAGATTGAAAACAGACGGCTGCGCAAACGCAGGTTAGTATGTGCATACGCAGCTCACACACACGTGACACTGACATTATCAAGCAGTGCTTCTCATTATGAACTTGAAACAAATAAAGCTCTTGAAGCGCTACAGCTGTATTTTTAGATGAATAAATATGAGCACTGGCGTGTTCACTGGTTTAACTAAATGCACTCCAAAGATGTTTTGAAGATGCAGTTTTGGTGTAAAAGTCAGCTCGCAGCACAATGATGTCACCCCCTGTTCTGAAAGTAGGCCAATCCAACAGAGCAATGTAAGTGTGTTTGTATGTTTGTGTGTATGTGTGTGTGTGTGTGTGTGTGTGTGTGAGGGTGACCTATATACAGCTGTGCAGCCAAAGGCATTTAAACACAGTCCAAGAGAAGAGAAGAGAAGAGAGGAGAGGAAAACAGAAGAGAGGAGGAAAGAAGAAAAAAGGGATAGAAAGGAGAGAAAAGACAGAAAAAAGGGCAAAAAAAAGATTATACTCACATGTTCATGAATGTGTGTGTGTCCACCTATCAACACCATCTGCTGCAGTTATTAGCTCAGCATGTGCATGTGGGGATTGAGTTACAGAGTGAGAAGAAAAATCATAGGGGTGCAGAATAGAACAGATCAGAATAGGCCAACATTCATTCCTAACCTGTCATCAGCAATTGGGCTTTTTGTGATTTCTTTATTTTTTGCCAGATTTAGATAATGATTTTCTAATGAAATTTCAAAACTGCCATGAAGTACAAGTTTTTCTGTTTTTCATTTCTGAGGGGATCAGATATAAGATAATCTAAAACTGTAGTTCAAAAATTATTAAAGATACAGAGAAAAGGAGACTCCTAACAGCCATGCAAAACCTGGTAGGCCACCATAACCGTTACTATCAGATAAACAGTGCTTCTTGCTTTCATCTTTGAGAGAGAAGAGAAAATCAAGCTCCGCTCTTGCTTCAAATCTGAAAAAATCCACAGGAACTTTTTTCATCCTTCCACTGTGAGAAGACAACTCAAAGTTCTTAAGATGCCTGGGATGGAAATGATCAAACCTTAACAATGTATTAGGATTGGTTTAATTTCTATAGATCAAAGTATGTAAAATAACATTTCTGTCCTTCGTAGTTCTGACGTCAAGAATGTAACAGTGTAAGAGTGCCTTGGTGTGAAGTGGACCTTTTATACTGGTCTATTCAACCTTGTTAACAAAAGAGCACCTTACTGACTCTCCATTGTATGCCTAGAGTAAGTCATTTGAGCATGCTGATAAGTCTCCTGGTGTTCTCAGAACTGGCCACTGCATAGTCCACACCTGACCATAATTGAATATGTTTGGCGTTACTTGGATCATGAGAATCAGAAAAGACTGAACTTTGGGGGTGTGGAAAAATACGCTGCAGATTTCTTTGAGAAAGTGAAAGCAATGAATAGCTTAATGGCCATTTTGACAGATAAGGGTAGTCTATGGCTTTGGCACAGTGCTGTATATATTTCATACAAGAGCAAATTGTGAGCTTAGGCATAGAGCTAATACACAATATTAATGTCTGTATTGCTTTTTTGTGCTGTCTTGTGCTGAAAAAATGACTGTAAAGAAATTAGAATCTGCCATAAACAATGATTAGTGCATCCCTAATATAATCAGAAACTCTCTTTCTCTGTCTGTCTATCTGTCTGTCTGTCTATATCTATCTATCTATTATTTGCAGTAAGTACAGGCCCCAGTCAGAGCAGCACAATGACAACTTCTCGCTGTCCACCATCGCTGAAGGCTCTCAGGCAAATGTAAGGAAACTGTGTGACTCGCCTAACCCTCCTCATGTCCGCGCTTTGGCTTACTATGATAACATTATCTGTCAGGTAACTTTTCCTCTCCTCTTTCTCCCTCGCTTGTCCTCTACGCATGCGTACAAGTCGCAATTCTGTGGGATTCTTTCTCTCTGTCAGTCTGTATTTCTTGTTTGTCTTTCTCTCTTTCTTTATTTATTCGTTGATGCAGGTGGTGCACTCATTAACCTTTTCATTGCTGTTACTCTATAGTCATGCATGGGAGTTCTTTTCCTGTCTCTATCAATTTCTATCTATCTCATGGAAAGACAGTGGGATAGATAGAGATACCCTGCTTCCTCTTTATCCTTTGTACTTTCCCTTCCCTTTTTACCAACTTGTGTCCGTACATCATAGTTGCTATGTAAGATGCTGCTATTGTTGTTTGCTTGCCTGTGTTGTCTTGTTTGTCCATAACAACACATCTCATAATCAGGGGTAAAAGGGGGGGGTAATAATACTACATACAGTGTTGGATGAGCAATTAAGTGGAAGCATTTATCAGAAGTAAAGGTTCTCTATTCAGTGTTAACATGATAGAAAAGGGCAACTATTCAGTTTCTTCGTCAAATCTTGTAAAGGAAGGTGTTGCACAGGTCTAGGCTGCAGCTGCAATAATAAGTATACCTAGATTCTAGTCATGGAGGGATACAGCACTGCAGAGTTTAGTATTCTGTCTCATTAAACACACTTGATTCAGCTAAATGGCAAGGCCTTTAAGAGTTGAATTCAGAATGTCGGAGGAAAAAAAATATTTTTTGCAGTGTTGTGGACCTCCAGGACCCCTGCCTTGTGAACAAATGGTGCCCTATAGGGTAATAAAGATCCTGTGTTTGATTTTAATGTTATGTCCACCACCCCATCCCATAGAAAACCATGAGCAAATACATTTGGGAGTATAAACCCAAAGAAGAATGCAGCGGTGAGGTAAGATGACCGGCAACTGTCTTAGCATCCCTTTTGGCTCTCTGCTGCACCCTCACTAACCCCAAAACATGGCTCAGTATCCTGCTATCTGCTCTCGCCTTGCTAACACCGAAAAATGGCTCCGTATCCTGCAGTTCCCTTATGGCCTTCCTACTGCAGGTCAGCTATCTTGGCTTAAACTTCCGCTCTTCATTCTGCTGCTAAGTCATCCGAAGGAGTGGCTCAAGACATTTTCATATTCACCAACCTAGCAGAGCAAAATGCGATAGCTTTTTTGGTATTTCAATTTGACATTTCTATTCTGTACACTACGCATTAGCCTTGATTTTCAGGCTACTTGAAAAGGGAGTCTTTTTTTCTTTTTTTTTCAAGGCAGGATTCGTTGCTGTCAGGCAAGACATTTTCTAGTATTAATGATGTAGCCCACTAGTTTGATTCTCTCCACTCGGTTCCTCAGTCAGTTTGTATCAGTAGAGAGTTCTTTCTAGTACTAAAGAAGGAATTGAGACTTACTGTGCTTTCATTTTCATCCAGTACATTGCCTCACAAAAAGCTACTAATCTTTTGGGTATCGTTGTTTTAATATCACTCAGTTCGGGAGTTCTCTGCTTTCTTCTGTATGTACTTACATTAACACAACTTTTCTGCCTCACACTTTCAAATAACTCATAGATATAGCTAATTTAGTTAGTACACTCACCTGTGATCTACAGTCTTTTAAAGCAAAGTTTCACTAACTTTTTAAAAGTTCTTGCTCCATTTGTGGGGCTAAAATCTTGCAGTAGAGTTGATCTTTCCATGCTCCTCCTACAAATATGCACTTTTTACAAACTTTTTTTTTCAGAACACCTAAATTAATTAGTTTAATTAATTACTTTTAATTCCAAATGATATTACTTTTGAATGACTTGGGCACTGTTTGGGATAAAACATTTCCCTTATTGTAACTCAGGACATTTGGTATATTCTTACTTGCCTCAAGTAAACTTGCATTTGTCATGTGTCTCTCACAACGGAATTTGATAAACCAAAGCAGTTGATTTTTAGTACTTGCCTGTAAATTAATATTGTGTCTCATGCTATAAATTCTATTTGTTGCTTGATAATATCAGTCAGAGCAGTAAATATTACAACAGATCTCTTTTAACAATAAAACATTTTAAATGTTAAATACAGGTCTTTTGTTAGTAGCCTAACAACAACATGTTTAAAGATTTATGCAGCCGCAAAAGAAAATGGGCACCTTTTTTTACACTTTCAGCCAGGGAAAAGAAACCAAACTGAGGTATCAAAATAGCCAGGTCACTGTCTTGCTAACTTTACCTTTTAGCTTTTTGTCCTTCTCATCTGAGAAGCCATTTCTGTCATTTGAGTCATTTGTTCTCCAGGATGCGGCCAGTGTGTCCCTTTAACGTTTCCAGGTCTATAGAGAACATGCGTCTTACATGGATCTGGTTTCAGACTGTGGTTTCAGAATAGCTAGTCAGAGCACACTGCCACACAGACATATAGACTGCACTCCTGTTGAACCTCTGACATTTTGTAATATAAAGTGGAGCTGACAGCACTCTGACCACAGATAATACTCACACGCTCTGAGACCTGTTACCCCACAGCCCTCAGACATGTCACCAGACATAAACCTTCTGAACTTTTGAAGACGTCAGTCCGTGTGCCCTTTACTCTGCAGGTTAATTCTTTCTAGTGCAGCTCCCGCTGATCTTTTGATAAGCTGTGGATAATATTAAACCTCCAAAGTCAATTTTGTCCATTTTACATTTATATTGTTTTTTATTTTTTAATTGAATAAAAAAAGAAAAAATATATAACATATCAAGATGTGTTATAATTATCTAAAAGGAAATCAGCTTTGAATATTTTAATGTTTTAGTTAATTAGGTTAAAAGGATGAAATAAGGTTTCAACTGCCTTGAAAAACTGCTTTATATAGGCTGCAATGAAGTAAAGCATATTTCAGAGGATACATATTCATGTTTTGCGAGTAATAAAAGCTTAATGTGACTTATTCGTCATTCGGCTCCCTTCTGACTCTGTAGCGCAGAGTCCTCAGTGAATGCCATCTTGTGAACTAGCTCACAGAGATGGGAAAGCTCTCTCATGATGAAAGGAACGGGTTTGACAGGCTAAAAGGGGAAGGGGGGAGGTAGAGAGAGAGAGAGAGAGAGAGAGACAGATAGATAAAGAGAGAACAGACAGAAAATTAAACACATGAAACCCCTCAGATCTCAAATACCTAGCCCGCTGACACGTTCCCTGTCTCTTCTAGAAAAACGCTTCTTACAGAATCAGTTTTTAGTTACTTTTTTTTTTCCTTTTACATGAAAGAATTGCAAGCAAGTGACCCAGCTATGCAGTCAGTTTAAAGCTTTCTTTTTCTCTTTGCTCCCTTTTACACTCACCTCCTTTGTGGCTTCATGCAGGGATACCACAGGTAGCATGTTGGTGATCACACTACACATGCAGCAGTGAGCCTTGCCCGCAGTGAATAGAATGAATAGTAAATTGGTGAAAATGCTCTGCCAATTGTGCTTTGATACATATGATTTTGTTGCCATGTTTTATGGGCTAAATACATAAAATACTGGCATCCTGATCTTTCTGTCTTGCCCTTCTAGCAATGCCATATCATTTAGCTTGTGCTATTTAGTAGTATTTGGTAGTACTTAAAATTCAGATCTGGGATCAGCTGCACCCTGAAAACACTATATTCAAGCATTTTATCAAAAGAGCCAAAAAGTTAAGCTGATTCCAGGTCTGTGCGCAACATCTTCTTCCTTCATGCACTCAGGACAGGTGAGAATGGCTCTTTTAGAGTTTATTTGAGGAGATTTTCTCTTATGTCCTGACATGCCTGCAGCTTCTGAGTGTGTGTGTGTGATAGAGAAAGAATTCTATGCATGTGTGGGAGCGAGAAAACTGATTTATTTTGGGATTGTATGTATATTGTTTGTTAAAAGCTTTGTGTAAAGTTAGCCCTGTGCTTGAGGGGTCTTTGAATTTTTTAGTACTGACCACCATTAGTCAGCGATTAATCATTAACCGGCATGCCTAAAATCAATGACATGACTCATCAAAATATCAATTATAAAACAGTTAGTTCCAGTGCTGAAATCTGATTGGCTAATTCATTTTTAAAGCTGTTGTAAAATACTTGATTGCACACTTTAAAAAGTATTCCTTGAATGCACCATGGACTGTACTGTCAACGGGGCCAGGCATAGGCGTGTATATTAACATATTAATAAACATACCCTGCGTAAGAACCTGGTTTTGTTTAAACCGAATGGTTGACAACTATATGTTTATGATCATCTGAGCAAAAACTAAAGTTGATGAAATATTCAAAAGTTCTATTTACCACTCATTACTAGCCCAGGTTAAAATAAACGTAAATGCCATTAACCTTGGCTCATTGTACATCAGTAGCTCTCGAACCACCGTCCATCATGTCCCCTTTAACTGTGTACACCTCACACCGCCATGCTTCACACTTTCTCTCAGAGAGCAAGGACAAAATAGTCACCTGTCTTGCTTTCCATATTGTAGCCTGTTGTAGTAGTGACATCGTTCTCTCATAGAGTGGCCCTGAATACCACTATTTAGCTGCATTCTTTTTAGTAGGCCTATCCACTGTATCCCACTGCCTATCACACCCTCAAATTGCATGCGTACAATTCAAAAACATTCTTCAACTTAAACCTGCCTTTCCAAAATAAGCTGTTGTTCATTGGAAATCACACAAAATTAAAAATTTTTAACCATTAGCATTGGTCAAACAGTTTTTTATTTGTCAATAAATCAGTTAATCATTTACATCTCTAGTCAAGAGTGGAGTTGGACTGTATGTATATCCATAGGGTAAAAATGAGTGTGTTTGACCACCATCTGGTGAGGTCTTATGTGTTAGCTAGAAGTGGGGAGCAAGGGGGCCGCTTTGGGACCAGTGCTTATTTCCGTTGGTACGTGTGTGTGTGTTTGCACCCCCTGTAGGATGACACTGCCAAGCTGGAGGAGCCGGTTAAGTCCCCCACTAAAGAGGACGAGTCTCTGAACATCCAAAACTCGCTGACACCCAAACATGAGAACAACAAGGCCAGCGGTGAAGAAAACGCAGAGGAGGTAAACTCGCTGCAGAACAATATGATGTAGTACCAACCTCTGCCCACAGGCTGGCGTCATGACGGCAACAGACCACATATTGACCAAACACTGGCCTCTTCACATCGTTGTAAAAGTTCTATCAAATAAATTGCAGTAGACCACACTGGTGCAAACTGGTTCCATTTCAGGCTAATTCAAAGCCCTGCCACGAACATAGCAGTTCACATCCCCAGAAAGATGCATTTTCATCTTTGAATCACAAGTCAAAACCCACTCAAGCAGTTTCATGACAGGCGATCTATGCTACAGTGTCTCATGCTATTGCAGTACTTGCCTGTTTAACCATATAAGAGCATCAAAGCAGCACATGCTGCTGCCACTGTCCCTTTCCTCTTTGCTTGCTGCCACTGTAATGCTACGTCACGCTGAGTCATGCTGTGTTATGCTATGGCACGCTGTGTCACGCTAAGCTATTGAACACTTCACCCACACATTAGCCTCTCAACCTACGAATTCACCTTTAGCCCTGGCTGCTGTGAGCCTTTTCCCGTAAACTCCTTCTTCTGTCCTGCCTTACTCCGAATCGGCATGCATTGATGTTCTTTTGTACAAAAAAGATTCTTGAGCAAAAGAAAATCACAGAAATACATATAAAGTACATTTAACAACAAATGATCTCAGAGGTTTTGATGTTCTTTTTGACTAATTCAGTGTGTAGGCCTATGTATGAATATATATATTCATATACTGTTTGAATTAATATTTATATACACTATTATAGATTATAAAAGCACATTGTGTCTTGTTTTCCGTTGATGTGATTTCTGATCCTTTTGATGTATTTGAGATTTTCTTTTTTGTACCTTTTTTGAAACAGACCATGACAGTTGATAAAAACAGAGTTTGCTGGAATAAAACGTTTTAACAGTACTGAGTCAGTCCCAGTGTAGTCCTGTCTTCCACCGCTGCTGCTTTTCTGCTTTCTGTCTTTCTCTGTCTGTCTTTCACTCTCATGAAGTGTCTCGCTTAGCTCCTGCGCATGGCTTAAACATACCCATGCTGCTGCTAATCATATTGAGTCTGCTGTTCGAAAAGTGCTGTATTATACCAGTTTTTCATTTACGTTGCAACAGTTTTGGGTATAAAAATTAACCTCGAAATCCAATAGTGAAGCCGGTGTTGCTTGTTGGTGATGAAATTATCTGAGTACATCACAGTTCGAATGTTATTTTGTTGAAATAATTGCAATTGAATTACTGCACACAATTTATTTATTACTGACTTGTATTGATAGTTATACACATAAGCTTACCACCACAGTTCAACTGTGGCTTTGTGAAAAATACATCCATTTTATATATGTTAGTCTTAATCACTAAGATCAGGCATCCGTTGTAAGATTAATTATGACATTCCAACCAACATTTATCTCTTAAATGTACTTTTTCTCAGTTAAGCTGAGATTTATTAATCATGCCTTTAAGCCATGGATGCTTATACGAGTCCATGGAGGGCTGCAGTGTCTACAGATTTTTGTCCCAACAGTGCAGATTCGGGGTTGGGGTTAATCCTGTTTCAGGTCATTTTTATTTTGTTTCAGTTAAGCTGAAATTTAAAAGACATTTAGTTAATGGAGTCATAACTGAAATTTTGGGGGGTACCGGTCTAATGCCCTTTAAATTCTCGTCTCTGCCTTCCATTTCCATTGATGAGGTTTTCAAAATCTCCACCTCCTCCCTGTTTCTCAGTCCTTTGTGTCAGTCCTTCCACCGTCCAAAGGTGGGGTCCGGCCTTCTAGCTCCAAGCAAAAGACGACCAGAACTCCAGCCCATGTTCTAAGAGTTCTCAGTCCTTCTTCATACTACCACCATAAAATTAAGGCACAGTCCAAACACGCAAATACATTTTAGAATCTAACCAGACCTTGGATTCAGTTCATAACCCCAAAAAACAACTGCAGAACTGTAGACACTGCAGACCACCATCCCCTCTGTAAGGCCATAATTCATGCTCCCTTAAACACACCTGTTAGGATGATGCCAGTTCCTACAGGTGCATTATCTCATGCTAATGTGCCATGCAGTCTGCCCATGTGTTCTTTTGCACATTACACAGGTATTGCATCAAAATAAATAAATAAGTAATAAGTAATACATTTAGTTAACATAAAATTAAACGAAAAAGAGAAATAGTAACTGTTAAAGGACATTTTATTTATTTATTTACTGAAGAAACTACAAAATGCATATATAGAGTAAGTGTAGTTATTTAAATGGGCAATGAGTGTAGATTTTTGTCACATCACAGAACAGTCACTGCTTGTGAGTGCAGTGTATCAACATTACACCACCTACTGTTGCTACTCTGTCAAAACGTGACCAAAGGCTGAAATGTGTTTCACTATCCTTACAGACCTATTCACAATGTAGCCTTTTAACTTTATATTTGTACCTTGTCTATAAATTTCTGTTACCTCTTTTCTAGGCATGTAATGTTGTGTATTTACTGTATATTTCACCCTGTTTATTATTTCTGTGTTTCTGCAGCCATATGTGTACTCCATGTGTCTGGTGTAGTTTTGTGCTTGTGTCTCTTTCTATATCTGTGCATGTGTGTGCATTCAGGGTGGGGTGACCATCGATCTGGAGCTGCTTCTGCCAAAGGAGGCAAAGACGCACCCTGAGACCAGCCCCCCGCTTCACTATAATGTTTTCCTCTACAAGCTCCCCAAGTCCCCCAAAAAGTCCCCCGTCCTCCGCCGGCCACCTGGACGCTCTGGACAGGCTAGGTCGCTCTCACAGCTGTGCCCCAGACGAGGCTCCGAGCCAGGCTACAGCCCCATCAGCACCCGCTCTCTCCCCCCTATGCCCTCCAGGACGCCTAACCTTCATATGGGCAAGGCCTGCACGCCATAACAATCTTTAACAGTGACCATGATCACACCGCTGGAGCCTCTGGGGATGACAAATTTGGCACCTTCCAAAACTACTCATGCTCACCCTGTGACTTGGCCACAATCCATTCCGCCGTGACACATCTAACCCTAGTGAGATACATGAAACAGGTTGTAGCTGTATAACACAATGGTATTGTGAACACACAATAAGCCTGAAACATTTGGGATTTTACCAACAGACCTTATGAAACATGAGTCACTAACATCACACTGTGTAGTAGGATAAATAGCCCATGACTGGAGTGACCAGAAATGAACCAGCGACATTACCTACAGTCATGCTGAAAACACTCCTTAACATAAAAGAGACTTACTGACTGCACAGACACAAGAATATCCACCATGACTCTACTTTGGTGTACAGTACACACATCATACTGCTTTGTCAGACAGCACATTACTGTGTGCGCACAGACATCACAGACTAAATATTCAGGGTAGCACACACTTGGAGATTACTAATTAATTAATGCGGTGCTTCTTCATGTTTTTAATCTCAGATTAATACGTTTCATGTAGAATAAAGAATGATAGAGTTACTTTATTACATAATGGGACTGCTGGTTCTTTGGTCAAAAATGATAGTAGAGTCTATCACTGATATCCTGCTGTTATATGAACAATTATGCACAAGTTATTAATTTTTCAGTGTCAGAGAAAAGCAGGGAACGTATTTGACAAGTCAACACTATGGGTCTGAAAGGATGCGTAGCCGTCAAGTTGTTGTTACTGAGAAAAGGAAATAGACAAAAAAGAACATTCCCACTAGAAACCTGAAATTTGTCATCTGAGATGTGGAGCACCGTTTTAAGGACTGGTGGGTCTAAGCTGGTAATTGGGATTGTAAGAAGCAGAAAATGCAAACAACTTCAAGACTGAACTTTGGATGTGTGGAAAAATCTCCCTGCAGATGTCTCTGAAAAACCCAAAGCAGCTCTCCTGAAAAGAACAGAAGCTGCAATAAAGGCAAAATGTGGACACACTAAATACTGAAAAAGACTGATATTGTATTTAGTTGTTGAGATTTCTGGGTAATTTTCTGTTAAATATACATTCTCAGCTGTTTGCTGATGCTGAAAATGAATAACTTGTACTTAATAGCCGTTCTGACTGGAAATTTACAAAATAAAAGCAAAGTTGGCCTCTCACTTCTGCACAGTAAACCTTGAAGACATGAAAAATGCTTAAGATTTTAAATAAGAGAACCGAGAAGTGCAGAAAACGTTTTTGTTCAAAATGCGAGTTCATAAAAAAAATCTAAAAGAAAGGGTTGTTTATGTGACGATTCATGATCGGTTTCAACCTTTATTAGCGCAAACTGTTCAAGCCCTGACAACACTGAACAAACAGCCAAAAAAACAACACCGCATTTGAGCGGAACGATTTGGGAAAAAAGAGCGATCACGCCGGTCACAGCGCGCTCTGAAGTTCCTCATGAGTGTTTGAGCGTGTTCGGTTCAGCTCGTACTGAAAGGCTCTCGCAGAGAGAAAAGTGGGTCACTGGCTCTCTCGGCGCTCCCGTCATCAAAACGAGTGAAAAGCGATGGAGATGGCGTGAGTGGACTGCAGGAAGAAAGGAAAGCGTGGGCGCCTCAAAGGAGCATCAGTTCCGACACGCTGGTAAGCCAAAAGGCGAGATCTGCACCGCAGTGTTTACAGCGCGAAAACACACGCGGAGTCAATAAAACACGGCATGGATTTGCTGGATGTGCATGCGCGTTCAGTCACGGAGAAATATTCAAACCACAGCATTAAAGCCAGGGCGCATCAACTGCATACGAGTTATAATACCGTTTTAAAGCTCCACCCAGTCAACATTAACTCGCTGACCGCACTGGCTTGTCCTTTACTTCACTGTGCGTGTATGTGTGTGTCTATTAGCCACATGGACCCAGTGGAACATGTAAATGGATTCCAAGGTTTTGTGTTTGAAGCATACGAAGCGCACTGATTTAATTCAGACAGCTCCAGTAACCCCAAGACATGCATGAACACACACACACCCCAGTCTCCAACGTGCCTTACCTCCCATACACACCTAAGCTAACAGCGCCGTTATGTGGCATTGTAGAGGCGGTCTCTCTCTCTCTCTCTCTCTCTCTCTCTCTCTCTCTCTCTCTCTCTCTCTCTCTCTCTCTCTCTCTCTCTCTCACACTCACACACACACACACACACACACACACACACACACACAAAGTGCAACAAAGGCAGCGAAATCCAATTACTGATATTTAATATCTGACTTTTTAGAGTATACTAGAAAACAATCCATGTATACAGAAGGCATGAGAGAAAATAACAAAAATAAAGTAAATTACCATTTCTTACGTGCCAGTTTCAGAAGGCTAAATGCAAGAGAACAATACATATTAGGAATCTGCACAGTGAACTAAAGGGCAATAAAACAACAGAACACAGAAGTGATGAATAGTTTTAAGCTAGTAACTGGCCCAAAATAAAAGCTTTTGTTACATATTGTAACAAAGATACTATTGTATCCCTTTATATATTGTAATCCTTAAACTACTGTATCCTTTTTCTGGTTAATATTTAATATCAAAATTCATTATCAGCATTGCAGATTGTTATCATCCCTCTCTCATCATGCTCATTATCCAAAAATCATTATCCTTACCTTCAGCATCATAAAGACTAAAGTACTACTTTAAAAGCTCAAGAGAATCAGAGAAATAATAGAACTGCATAGTCATAGTGCAGCAAAGTGTTTCCTTTAAGTTGACAATGTGTGCACATGGGCTTTAAAATAGTAAGGCGAAGTACAGTGTTAGCAAATGTAGTGCCAGTGCATCTAGTGCTCTGTATATACAGGTTTGAGTGAGCAATAGTGTAGTTCTAACTTATTTATACGTTACGCACTTAACTTCATTTTAGCTCATTTTATGTCTTATTTAATGTCCAAAGTGGGTCCAGATCACCTAACAAATCTCTGTTTAGTTCTTCATTCGTTTGGGTTGTGTTGTTTGCCCTTCCATTCTCTAATGTTCCCTCATGTACTGCCTGGCCTCCATCAGCGGCATTTACACTGTGATTGGCTTTGGACACATCCAGAGTGGACTCCCTACCACTATTCCCTTTTTCCATTCCACCATGCTCTTCTGACTGGTTGAGATTAGGCTGAAGATGACCATTGGCTGGTTGAGATGATTGAAGGCTATTCTGAGCTTCTCCCTGGGAAGAAATGCTGAGCTTGTCCAACTTGTTATGGACAAAATCATTACCAGCATCCAATGAGGATGGCAGGAATGTTGCTTCAGATTGTGAGAAACTGGGTGCATTCCCTGTAGATGAAGGGGTCAGGACGTTTCCAGGAGTTGCCTGATTTTGGGGTAAGAGTTGAGCAGGGGAAGGTGTCAGGATACCAGCAGCTGCTGGAGGATTGGGATTGTCCATCACTGGGACAACACCTGGTCCAGAAGATGATGCAGGAATGTTTTGGAGTGAAAAATTCTGGTTTTGCGGCGGTCTCACTGGCTGCAACATGGGATTGAACTGGGTGGTCATTGGTTGCTGAGCCATGACATGTTGAGTGTTGGGTGGCCCTGCTTGTACATTACATGGCAGCACAGGTCCACGAGGCATTTGATGCTGATTAGAGGGTTGATAAGTAAAAGGCACTGGGGAATTTTGGCTGAAGGGTATCTGAGGGGTAGGCTGAAATTGAGGTGTCTGATTGTTTGGATTCTGGAAGGATCCAGGCATTTGCTGAGGTTGGGAAGATGGAAAGGATGGAAGAACATGGCTCATATGACCCTGGGGGTGGTTTAGTGCAGGCTGACCTGGATGGAATTGGTTTTGTGGACTTGGGTGAGGTTGTCCCGGAGCTTGCACTGGAAGAGGAGCTCTCTGAGGCTGAGGCCCTGTCTGAGCTGTCTGTAGACCAGGTTGAGATTGGTTCTGTGGAACTACAGAAGGCCAGTAAGGAGGTGCTGGGCCTGGCGGGACTTGACCCTGACCAGGCATCAGGGGCTGGAACTGTCCAGGATGGATGGGTGGCTGGCTTTGCCCAGGAAAAGCAACTGTAGGTATCTGTGAGGATGTCGCTTTTCTAGGCTTTGGTATTGGGTACTGGGTTCCTGGAGGGATCTGTTGAGCAGAAGATTGAGGCAGGCCAGCTTGCATCTGTTGTCCAATAGGAAGAGGGAACTGCCCACTGGGCATGGGTACTTGGTGTCCAAGCAAACTTGGTCTTGGGGCAGACTGTGGGCCAATCTGTGGGGGTCCAGTGGAAGCCCCTGCAATCACAGGAAAGGGAGCCCTAGGTGCTTGTTGCCAGGGAGGTGGCATGTAGCCCTGGGGAGGCATTTGTGAAGTGTTTTGTGGGTTAGTGGAAACAGGTGTGCTACCTCTGGATGGTCCAGGTTGGAATTGCTGTGGTAAGGTATAACCTGGTCCCGGAGGCTGAAGAGGTCCAGTTGATCGTGGAACACCTGGAGCTTGGCCATAAGGAGACTGATTAGAGTCAGAGAACTGTGGCATTCTCTGATTTGGAAATGGAGTAGGAGCAAATGGGGCAGCCCCTGGAGGCCAGGTGACAGGGACTGCACCATGGGGCATGGTGTTTGGGAGTTTAGAGCCTCCAGCTAAAGCCATGTCTGGTGGGAGGCTACAGAGCTCCTGAGGAAGATCTTCTCCAAGGCTAAAGGGGGTAATGGAAGGCCCCACAGCCTCTAAACTGGAGGGGCCGGACCCAGAACTTGGAGCTTTATTATCAAGCACTGGCTTTTGGGCAGTAGGCCTGGCAGGAGGCCGTTTTCCCACCTCCCTATTGTAATAAGGCAGAAAAATAATCAGTCAAAAAGAGCTTTGGATGAGGAACCATGAGAAACATATACTCCAGAATCTTTGCAGCCTTTGCAACCAGTCTTCTGGTGTGGGTTTCAGACTTTCTTTTTAATATGAATTCTCCCCTTACCAGTAATAAGTATCTGCTAACACTTTTGCCCTAAGAATAGCTACACATATTAGAGACCTAGATGGCTGATGAGGTCACCATATACACAATACATAGCAAAATTAAGCCACTCGACCACCATATGGGTACTACCAATGTCTACGCTGTAAAATGAATGCTATAGCTCATCTATAGCTATAGCTATAGATGCAAGCTCAACATACTCCTAAAAAGTACAAATACAACAAAAGGAAGAGGTTTACTGCATTTTTATGAAACAAGTTTAAGGGATGAGTATTAGTAATATAATAATCTGATCATTTACTTATTAGGGATGGACTCACATTAGTATTTGATATTTTGAGTATTTGAAAAAGAAATTGTGCATTGTCATTTCTATATAGTTTTTTTTTCACAGAGCGTGTGACCTAGAATGGCCAAGAAAGCAATGTGCAGTCCCAAATTGCATACATATGAAATTATGAAATCATACCACTCTATTTAAGAATGCAGTTTTGTTTAACTAGGTCTAAGCTAACCAGCTCGAAGACCAGTCTTCTTCAATAATATTCAGAGCTAAGCTTTAAGTTAAGCTTTAAGCTAAAATATTCATTGCAGTGTCTACAAAAAAA